TTTATAATACTTGTGTTACCCTGTTACTAATATTTCATCTGAACCATTTTCAAGCATGGATCACCAGCACTTTCCACATCTCTCCATTTGGGCATGTGCAGAAGACTACTCTGAGGATTTTCCACGTGTTTGCTCCATCGTCCCCTTCATATGAAATCAAGAGTTTAAGTTATTCTGAGTTTATCTTGATCGTATTGCAGTAGATGACATATGTTTTATACTAGTCAAAAAGTACAAGTGTGCGTTCCCCCTACAAGGGCAGGGAAACTCAGAGTCCTTAATAGGTTTATAACAATTGTAGGTGGTTAGAGCTTGCCCATGACAGCAAGAAGCGTTGTATGACGATGTTTTATGATGACTTTAAGAGTATTTCCCTCGTGAGGTGAGATACTCAATAGAAGAATAAGGTGCTAAGTATAAGCTTCTGAGGGGATGATATGAGTGAGTTAAATGTTGTGGATATTAAGGGTGTAATAATCTGTCTGACTTAAGATCTATCCTTCTCCCCTTGAGGGGGAATATTTATAGAGGCCCTTTGAGCATAGGGTTTGGGTAACCCCAAATGATGGCAACCGCTCCCCCATAATCATGAGAAGTTATTAACCACCTATATTTTTAGGAGTAATGGATAACCCCTTATTCTTAAACTGATATCCTAACATGTCATTGGTATCCCTGAGCAAGTGCTTGAGATATCACTTGGGTGGTATAACTTACAAGAGAATGACACCCCAGTTTAAGACCATCACAAATATAACATTACATAGTCCCTTAAGCACGATGACTTAGTTAAGGATGAACAGTTTTTAAGACACAATTTACGTTTAAGATGTGCCCAACATATTAATAGTGAGTCCATGGGTTGACAATGCTCTTAAAAAATGGGTGAGTTCCTCAGTTGTAGGCGAGTCACTAAGTTGAAGGTGAGTTCCTTAGTTATAGGTGAGTTCCTCAATTGGAGGCGAGTTCCTCAGCCGAAGGTGAGTCATTCAGTTGAAGGTGAGCTCGTCAGTTGAAGGTAAGTCCCTTAGTTGGAAGCAAGTTCCTGTACTGAAGGTGAGTCTATCATCCATAGGCAAGTTCCTCAGTTGGAGGCGAGTGTGTTTACATGCGAATCCCTCAACTGAAGGAGACTCTCCTTTTAGCAAATTGACTATAGGGATTCAACCTACTTTATGGTAGACCCCCAGGATGTCAAAACACCAATCATTATTAAAAGCTTGAGTGCTTTAGTGGGGAAAAAAGCACGAAAGGCATTTAATGCACCTCATGATGGCGTTTCTTGGGAGAATCATTGTTCTCTATTTCTCACACGTGTCATCTAGGTGTATGGGTTTTTCCGCTTCTTGTGGCAGTTAAACCATTGGGTGATCACATAGTTTGTACCATTGGGTTTCCCATATAATATTTCGGAAACCCCTTATTCTTCTTCTTCTTTTTTCTTCTAGAAACACACCTGGTGAAAACTTCTCTTCCACTTTTCTGCTCCCAACAATCACGGGGAAGAAAAACAAGGTTATTTATGTTTGATATATTGTTTACTTGTACTCTACAGTAGACATGATTGACATGTTTCTCCATGAAATTAGATTTTCTAATATGGATTAAGAGAACGAGAGATGTAGAGAGAGAGAGAGAGAGAGAGAGAGAGAGAGAGAGAGAGAGAGAGAGAGAGAGAGAGAGAGAGAGAGAGAGAGAGAGAGAGAGAGAGAGAGAGAGAGAGAGAGAGAGAGAGAGAGAGAGAGAGAGAGAGAGAGAGAGAGAGAGAGAGAGAGAGAGAGAGAGAGAGAGAGAGAGAGAGAGAGAGAATGTGTGTGTGTGTGTATGTGCGTGAGAGATAGAAAGAAAGAAAAAAGTTGTGTGTGTGTGTGTGTGAGAGTAAGTGAGTGAGAGAGAGAGAGAGACATGATCATGGAACTATATTCCAAGGAGGAGAGGGTCAATATGGATACTTCTAGAGAGTTGTTTGCGCCCTATTTTTACGTCCATTCCCCATTATTTATGAGCTTATGGTTTTGATTCCATTTACATCATTTGAAATGGATTTTTTTGACAATAATCAATGTTTCCCCTTCTCAAATTACTATGAGCTTGTGGGGTTTACTCAGAGCCTTCCAGATGATTTTTTGTAGCACAGACGTGTTCCCTTCTGTTGGAGTTTTCCTTTATTTTTTCTGGACGAAGATTCATCATAGTAACGGTTGGGTGACGTTGCACCATCTGTTAGGGGTGTCTGCTAAAACCCTTTTCAAACCCTTATGAGGACTGGAAAGACAAGTTTGTACGAATGATATGGCAAGGTGATGCCTCACCGGTAACTACGGGGGGCGAAGGGTGACTCTTTTTCCCTTGTCTTGGACGTATCATCCACGACTTACCCAAAGTGTGGATCCAAGTGGACTTTCTCTCCTTCATTATGAAGTAATCCAAATACCAAGGTGTTTCCCTCCACTGGAATCTAGTGTTCTCCTCTTTCGGGATGTTGAGGATGACGACATAGTGGGGTCGTATTTAGGTATGCAAAGAATACCCTTTTTTTTGACCTGGTCCCATATTTATTACTGTATATGTCATAATCATCTCTCTTTCATGTGCAGGAGACACGATAAAGACCCATTTTGATGAGAAAAGATAGTGTTTGGCGAGAATGTGTATGGCTCAACATTGGACAAAATAGTTGTCGTTGCTTCCTTAGGATAGGGAGGCGAGGCAGTGTGAGACATCAAAGGTTGTTGAGATTCTCCATTCTCAGGCACCAGAGAGGGAGGGGACCCCTAAGTCATTTGTGGGTCGTAAGATAAAGCAAGTGGAGGAGAAAGCAAGAGAGGGAGTCACCCCTCATGAGCTTTATTTGTGGAACAAAGCTTTTAATATGTTGGAGTTTCTAAATTTTATTTCTCTTTCCCTATTAATTTTCCCAGCGACTATCATTCACTCATCGACATGTCTTCTACTAGGTTATCTGATTTGCTAGAAGTCCAAGTATTAAGGTGCCTTTTGGTGGAGAAGGCGTTACAGGAGAACCATAAATGCATCCCATATTGCTTTAGATGTTTTACAATATCGAAACTGAAAAATATACATTATCACTCAAGGAGTATATTAGTATATTTCCCACTTTCATATCTTAAAACTCCGATTTAGGTTTTTCATCAATCAAACCCTTGAGAGCTTTCTTAACAAAAATATCATCGAAGTTACTATTAGAGATAAAAATATCGTCTTCGATAACAACCTAAAACAATTTATCAACTGTCATATTATGCACATACATGTAATCTTTCAAATATGCATAATTTTCTATGGGAGCTCGATTATATGCACCATTCAAATCATCCTTACCCATATTCAAAACTTTTACGATTGTGAGACATGATCAAAAGACTGACTCTTCATGCCACTTGTTGGTTAATGTGAGTTTAGAATGGTTTAGAAAGAGGTTGAATAAACTTGTTCCTTTTAAACTATTTTTCATAATAGAGTTGAGAGAGAAAAAAGAAGTTTGAAAAACATTTTTAGAAATAACGCAATTGAATAAATGTACATTGAAATTTCAAGGAATGCAAAATAATGATGAATTAACTAATAACAGTAGAAGTGTTAATCTATTTAGACTCAAATAGAGAAACTTGAATAAAATTAGATTAATAAATTAAATATTATAATATTTAAATTCTTCAGTATAATCAGTAGAAAGGTGAATTTAGAAAACTAGATATAAGCAGACTTACGCTTAGAAAATAAATTTCTATGAACAGGAAAAAAACCTAATAACATGCAAACTACTGATAACAAATAAATATACTCAGTAAGATCTAAACAGAAAATGAAAAGAAAGAGTTAGAGGGTCATTCTTTTCCACCAAGAGAAAAGAAATAGAGCTCCTAATACCTACCTCAACATAGGGAGGAGACCTTAGAGGCTCAACACCTGACAAAGAAAATATCAACCCACACACTCAAAGTACATGGCATAAGTCTTAATCTTCATTTGGCTAAGAGGTATAGATTGACCAATCGAATATCTCTAACACCTAAGTTTTTGTCTCTCTTAGACTTATAAACAACATACCACTTAATCTAAGAGATTTTGGCTTCCCCTTTCATAACTCCCCAAAGAAACTTTATATGAATCCTAACTAAGTTTTTCCACACTTTCACAAGCATCTTTAAGAAGGAGAGAAATAAAACAAAGATATCATTGAAGACAAAGTTAAAGAGAATAAGTCTATCCCACAAGCTTACATACTTATGGTTCCATGAGAATTCTCTTCCAATCAGTTAGAATAGGAGTTCCAAGTGAATTTCAACTGAAGATTGACTCCTACTGAAAGCTCAGATACCCTAAAAGAAAGAGAATCAATTTTGCAATGGAGAACGTCCTCAACTAAAAAAAGGTTCAATATTAATTTCAATCAAGTCACTCTTATAAAAATTAACCCCAATGCCAAAAGCTAGCTTAAACCCCTCATAATCACTTTGATAGTCTATAAATTCTCAACTTGTATAATAGAAGTATGAAAATGCATTAAAGTTATAGGACACGATGAAATGTATGATAGATAATGCATGATAGACATGAAGAAAAAAAAACTTAGATGGGTGAATTAATTATCGATGTGTGAGAGGGAGAGAAATTTAATCTTAAAAAACATGTAAATTTTGGAGAGAGTATTTATTGTTAATTTTAATTCTTATATCGATGAATACTTAGACAATTATGAACCGAAGAGGTTGATTAAATAAACAGTATCACTAAAATTGAAAAAGTAATGGGTGAATTTATTATTAAAGTTTTTAAATTTTGCATGCCTTTATGACATACGAAAAACAAAAACAAAAAAGAGTAAAAAGCTTTAGTAAAAATAAAAGCGTAGTTGAGTTAAGAGAAAGAAAAGAATGCGAAACAACTAGTAAAGTACAAACAAACAACCACATCTACTCTTCAACTCCGCTTCTTTTTTTTTCTCACTTTCCGACCAAATTTCTCATTCTCCGGCAATGTCTATCAACACCGAATCTTCGCCGCCGCCGCCGGTCATCGGCAAAATTGGCCCGTACACTGTTTTCATGACGCCGCCTTCAACCCCTAAACCCTCCTCTTCCGAACCAGCTACTACTCCTCATTCACCAAACATCAACAATGTTAACAATCACGCTAAGATCCTTCCTCCTCCGCCTCAGATTCATAACCCTATCCCTTCTTCCAAAACTCTCTCCTCTGATGCTTCTTCGTTTCTCGGATTTTTCAAGAACGCTGTTAACAAGGTTCAAACTGGTAATCACTTTACTCTTTCCATGTCTCTGTCTCTGTCTCTTACTATACTGAGTAATTGATTTTCAGTTGAGTTGTTGAAAATTGTGATTTTGTGATTGTGATTGTGATTGTGATTGTGATTGTGAAGAGTGAGTGACTCATGTTTTCTATTTTTAGAGTTATTATTATTATTATTATTATTATTATTTGTTTCAGGTTTTTGATTAACTATTAATTATGTTGTTTATTTTTGTTAATTAAATGGTTTGTTTCATTTCACAGCTCATTCAAGTTTGGATGAGCATTTGGCTCGTTGGTTTGGGTTGAATCAGTCAAAGTATCAATGGGCTCTTGATGATTATTATGAGACCAACGGAACGGTGAGCTGTTAATTTGTTATTAAACTACTAATTAACACTATGATTCTGCTTAATATGCTTATGGAATTGCATAATCTTCTACTTGTTTTCATGAGATTTCATCTGATATCGCTTGTGTTAGATTATTATCTTAGTCTTTCAGATGAACTTTTGATTCAATTCAATCAAATTCATTTTCTCCGTCGAGTCCTGAAATCACAAATGTCTGTTTCACTATGCTGCAATGCTTGAGCAGTTGTACAATAAACTCACAAGTAGTAATACTCACTTCTACGGCCATCTTTGAGGGCGTGCCAGGTGGACTGCCGCACATGGCCGAAACATGACATGGTTAAATAGGGCCGTCTTTGAGAGTGTGCAAGGCGGACTTCCGCACAGGGTCCGAAATGTGACATGGTTAAATAGGGCTGTTTTTGAGGGCGTGCAAGGCAGGCTGCCGCGCATGGCCTGAAACATGACATGGTTAAATAGGGTCTTATATATTTTACCACAATTTAATCGTGGCTAACCAACACAGGGTCTCCGAAAACTTAAGATGACTCTATTCACTTCCTTGAGGAGGGAGACAGGCAAAGTAGTGGTAGCTCGACTGTTGCATGTAAAAGAATCTATTAACAATATGCCTGTCCATAAGAATCTATTAGTACTATCTCAAGCATAAGCTCAAATAAGTTCAATCCAAATAAGCTTTAGGGGTGGATTGACAAAATCTCTTGTTTTTTTCAAAACATAGTTTCATAGAGCTTAGCCTAAGGGGTTTATGATGATAAAGGCAAGCCTTTTAAGTTAAGTTGCCTTTGGGCCACATGCTTTATATCTAAGTTACCCTAAAAACTATGACTTAAAGCTAAAGAACATGTTAAATAAGGGCATTTTCACCTGTTCTTGAAAATGAAGTTGGTGATTATTATCATTATTATTTTTATTTGGTTAATGTGTCTCTTTTTAATTATTATGAATATGATTTTATTGTAGGCAAAAGGAGATGTAAAAGTGAAAGAAGTATCAAGCAAAGTACAGAGTGTTTGACCTGCCTAGTGCCGATGGTAATATTACCTTTGCTTTGCAATACTTACTCCCTGTTTGTATAATTTCAATTAAGCGCTTATATTTTAAGTTCTTATCATCATATAAGTGCAATTGGTATCTTTATGTAGGATTTAATCAAAAGTGAGATGCGAAGACTCTTGCTTTGAGTATATTTATACCTTCGTATTTACATGTGGAGTAGACAAACAACAATTCTTGTGATATGTTCAAGAGTTATTTGATCTACAACCATTGATCTTCTGATTCAATGCTTCAATGCTTTGTTCTTGTATTGTATTGTATTGTAGTTTAAGTAGTGTTTCAATTTTCCTTGCCTAGGAGCTGTTTTTGTATTTGCATTTGGTTAAGGAAAAACATTGATACTTGCATTCTTATGGCGACAGCAAAGTTATTATCTCCAAAACATTTTGAAATGGAAGGGTTTGATTTGGATAATCTGATAATATCATTATTTATATTTTATTCCTGTCCAATTTAGCTTCTATTCAATTTTACAGATAAATAAATAAATAAGAAAAGGGTGTATATGTGTTCGATAAAACATATTTTTAACTGAATTTCTTAATTTCTTAATGCACCCTATATATTATTAGGGCACAATGTGAAAATATAAAAATGTCTCTAGTTTTTGGAGATGTATCTTCAGACAGATCTCATACACATACAACTTATTTATTTTTGAATCACACTCCAATTTTATGACTTAATTTATTTTGAAAATGTATTTTTAAAATGTTTTAGGAAATACATTTCAAAAACACTTATATCCTATGGTTACTCACAAAAACCATCCTATAGGATCTAAGTTTTTTTTTTAGATTTGAAAATGTATTTTTGGAGACATTTTAGAAATACATTTTTGGAATAATATACGTTAAATTTAAGAGGTATTTTTAATTTTTGGTAGGATGTTTTTTCACCCATAACGTGAGATAAGAAAGTTCGGAGATGCATATATAAAATTTAAGAGGTATTTTCAATTTTTGGTAGGATGTTTTTTCACCCATAATGTGAGATAAGAAATTTCCTATTTTTATATGGTAAGGCCCAACATTAGGACAAAGGCATCATGATTGATGATAAAGAAAATTGGATGTAGGAGAAGAATATGCAACAATCAAGTCCAAGCAATGCACGTGATTGGAAAGTCCTTATCATCATCTTTTCAAGTGTAAAAGCAGTTTTTGAAATTCATCCTCCTCGTTCAAACTACCTTTGGAGAAGAAGCTTTCCTCCATCTTGCCTTGAAATAAGAACCAATGTCTAAGGTGGTTTTTCTTATAGACTTTAATCTTAGTTAGACTAAGCTTAAAGAATTAGAGAAGAAGTTTTCCTCCATCTTGCTTTGAAATAAGAACCAAGGTTTAAGGTGGTTTTTCTTATAGACTTTAATCTTAGTCTATGAAATAAGAACCAAGGTTTAAGGTGGTTTTTCTTATAGACTTTAATCTTAGTTAGACTAAGCTTAAAGAATTAGAGAAGAAGTTTTCCTCCATCTTGCTTTGAAATAAGAACCAAGGTTTAAGGTGGTTTTTCTTATAGACATTAATCTTAGTCTATGAAATAAGAACTAAGGTTTAAGGTGGTTTTTCTTATAGACTTTAATCTTAGTTAGACTAAGCTTAAAGAATTAGAGAAGAAGTTTTCCTCCATCTTGCTTTGAAATAAGAACCAAGGTTTAAGGTGGTTTTTCTTATAGACTTTAATCTTAGTCTATGAAATAAGAACCAAGGTTTAAGGTGGTTTTTCTTATAGACTTTAATCTTAGTTAGACTAAGCTTAAAGTGTTAGAAATTACATGGTAGTAATTAGAGTAATTATTATATAGTGTAAATGTATATAAAGACTATTTAAGTGGTGTGAGACCCAATAATTGGATAGTTAAATAATGAGTGGTCATAGTTAAAGAAACCATAAAATTTTCAAAGTAAAGTCCAACATGCGAAATTGAAAAGGAAGAGATGTGTAAGGTCCTCAAGGTCTTCATAACATGTAAAATGCATTATTTAGTTAGATCTGTTTACAATTGTTTTAGAACAAATTCATGCATTTTTGTGATTTTATGCCAATATTAAATGTGTATTTTAGATACTAGTCATGTAGAAGTTTATGCACCTAAAAACAACGAAAAAAGGAAAAAGATAACAAAGAAATATGTATTTCATATTGTTATGACGGACTCTGCTCAGCTATGATGTCCGTCATGGGGTGACCAGTAAGACTGTTAACCGAAGTAAATGAGTTTAGTGTAAAAAGCATGACATGCTGATCGTCACCTGAGTGACACCAGTCATGTTCATGATGGGCAGAACGTCACCCGACGTAATGCCCGTCATGACTTTAATTTCCAATGTTTCCACCCATGTTTTAGCAAGCAATTTTTTCCCATTCCTTCACTTTATTCACCTGTTTGACACGAACTTAAAAGTTTGAGAGCTAACCTTAGGCTATAATTAGGATCTTAGTTCACTATTTTTGACATCCAAGCTTACATTCAACCATAAATTTACTCTTGTAAAACATATACACTTCACATTAAAATGTTTATGCAATTTATTTTCTATAAAAGACGTTTTTGCTGCTGAATTTTATTACTTGCACTGTAACTTCAAGTTTGTTGCATTATAGGATAAAAGTCTCCCTTCAGAGTAATTTATTTATGCAAGTTTCAATATTTATTCACTTTTCAGGTTCTTTTACTTTTACTGTTTCTTCATGTCTTATTTAATTGCATGTTGTTTTGTTATTTACTTTACGTTGTTTGAGTAGATTTATATAGGTAAACACCCTACACTATTTTCGGAATTGTCGATTGACCCCACAAATTAACACAAGTCTTTTTAGCATCCTTTGTCCTCACTCACACGTTTTCTGAGAAATTTTTCGGAAGGTCACTCATCCAAATACTACTCCAAGTCAAACACACTTAACTATGAAGTTCTTATTTGTTAGACTATCGAAAAAAAGATGCATCTTGTTGGTATAGCTAGTATCAATCAATCCTTATAAGTCTTCCTTTAACCATGCAGTCCCAAACATGCACAACCTCAGGATCCCTCTCATTCCAATGTGAACTCGATTTTCACCTAGAAGTTGCCAAGAGCCGCTCATTCTCATACCTTGTGCACTAACGACCACCCCTTGCCCTCGTTGTTGTCAGACGTTACACGAAACATGAGGAGCGTTATCGACAAAATTCATACAAAATGCTTAATTAGATTAAATATAATGAGAATAATTTTTTTTTTGCAATTTTTGTGTAAACGATAGAAAATATTTGTTACAAAAGTAGAAATAAAGAGATACTATTTATGCACCTATGAAGGCGATATCAAACTTAGAAATTCAAACGATCATTTCTGACAACGTGTGAAAGCAGGGTCAGAATTGATCGAGAAAATACTTAAAACTTCTGTTTTGAAATATTAAGAGCATCTCCAACCGTGAACTCATTTTTGGGTTCTTTGTGGGACCTATTAAGTCACGTCAGCTTGAAGCAACTCAACTAATTTTTCACTCCAATTGTGCAATTCTGAAGAACTCATATTGGGTCCCACAAGTTTACTTTATATGTTAATATTTTATTCATATTAAATTTTATATCACTTAAAATAATAATTTTAATTTTTTTACAGAAAATTATTTCAATCTACTATATAGTCCAACCGGTATATAGTGTTGTTTTAAGGAAAAATATTTCATTCTACTATATAAACTTAAAAAAAATTAGATTAAATTTTAAAAAATATTTCAATCTCTCCTTAGTTAATTTTAGTGTTTTAAATTAAATTTGATATAAAATAAAAATAAAATTAAAATTAAAAATTAAAATAAATAAAAATAAAATAAATAAAATTCAAATTAAACTTATAATTTAAACTTATAATTAAAATATAGTTTTCATATTATAAAATCAATATTTTAATATTGTAATTATAATTTTTATATGATAATTAAAATGATAAATAAAATTTTATATTAAATTATAATTTTTATATTATAAAATTAATATTTTAATATAAGAACAGTTGAAGAACCGTTGTTTAATTAAGCACCGTTCAACAATATGACAATCTTGAAAACAACAAATATGAGTGCCATGTTGACAAACCCACTCTAAGAACTCCCATTGGAGTTGGTCTAATATTGAAAAGTAAAAACTTACTACGAAAGTAGAAAATAGAGATACCAATTACATATCGAAAAAATGGAACCAATATCTGACACCATTATTCAAACAATTAATGTCAAGGTAGTGAAAACATCTTGAATTAGTTGAGGATTTATTTTCAACTTTAAAAGAATGTTAGATATATTAATTTCACTGCGAAAGACAATTTTAACATACTTTTAGGAATCCGATGACAGACACGCAAAAGCGCGCGTCGCTATTAGTTAAATATTTTCTAGAGATAATTTTGTATCCTAATTGTAATAAACAATTGCATTTTGTATGAATATAATTGGTAGGCGCAAATGTCATTTATGTCCCTTACTTGTTATTTGATTGATTTAAACTGATTTAGTGCACTATTTACCTTTTCGCTAAAACAAATCATACACATAGCCTTAGATAAAAACAACAATAATAAATAACAACACTTTTATTGGTATTTGTGGAATTCTACAATATTTTATACTAAACAGATAAAGTTGTGCACTTACGGTCCTATCTAGTGCCATATACCTCAGTTGTGGGAAGTTTAATGTATACAATGATTTGCACACGATCAGACATAACACACACATACATTTGGTGTTGTCAGAGGATTCTTAGTTAAACCAAACAAAAAGCATTGGAATGTTGTGAGTTGGATCTTATGATATCTTATAGAAACTTCTAAAATGAGTTTATGCTTTGAAAATAAGTCTTTGAATGATTAACTACACATATGTAGATATGATGAGAGATATTGATTCTGGAAAATCTAATTATCGTTTCCTAATTACATTTCCAGCGGGTGCGGTGTTGTGACAGT